GCAGAGATTGATCATCTTTTTATATCCATTGTTTTGCCTAATTTTAGCTATGCACTTTCAGTCTATGGGGCATCTGAGTCCGATCTTACGGTTGCACAAAATTTTTTGGACCGATGTCATAAACGCAATTTTATCTCATTTCCAGTTTTTATCAAGAACCTTTTAAACAAACAAGACCGAAACATTTTGAAGAAACTAAAATCAACGGATTGCTACCCCTGAAAGACATAATTCCTGTCCAAAAGACATATGTGCACAATCTTAGGAAAAAAGGCTGTGCACGCCCGAAAATTAATACATAGCGCTTTATGAACACCTTTGTAAATGGGTTGATCTATAAGCTCCATTTATTGTAATGACATACTTTTTAATTCATAATAATTATGTATGTAGATTTCTGTTGTAGTTTTTCCGAATTCATTGTAACATAAGATATGTAGTTTTATCTTATGATGGAATAAAGACGTTATTATTATTAAGATTTTATTATTAGGGAGTAGGAAACTGATGTTTTTAGGGAGTAAGGATAGATGAGGTCGAATATAATTTTTATTGGGATAACTGATGCATTTAACTACTACTATTACAACTGGAGGCTAAAGATGTTATTTCATTTCATTCGCATCTATGCGACATTCTGGTATTTCTCATTTTGTTCACACCTCTCCAGTTATGGTAGAATTCTCATCTGTTGAGGTTAAGGGGTAGTTTGACCGAGATAAAGTGATCAGATTTCGTTAAAATTTTTCACGTCATAAACCACATGTGACTGATGATATTTTCGAGACTGATGATTGAAAAGAACCTTCTTTTCTGTGATAAAATCTATAATTGTTCTACCATTTCCCCCAAGATGAGTTATGGTGACCATATCCCTATTGCTAACATTACCTTACTTTTCTTAACAAAACAGTGACATTTTGTGTTTCAGTAATCGCTCCCGCCGGCTGTGATTCATGAAAAAACTTTTCAACCAGAACCTAAACTTAGGCGAACTTTCAATTTTTGCTGAAATTGCAAATACATTGCTCTGGAGGTTGAAGCTCTAACACACTCAAAGGAAAGTAGCACAAATGTACTTGATTTGTTGAGATAGCAATGACAGGATTAAATTACTTTCCAATACGTCTGTGCTCTTCGACAGGCCTCCTGTTTCATTCACAAAAAGGATCATCTACCTTGATCGCACCAACAAAAATTAAAGAGGGCTCGAATTGAACTCGATTGTATATTATTTTGCTTTTGGAAAATCAATTGATTGTGCCTTCCTTTCGCACATCACACAACCATATTGTAACTAGGACGCTTCCATCTAAGTTGCAGAGGGAAAAATGAAAAGAAAAGTCATCTTAATGGCTTGTTCCACCATTGTTTTCTGACGAATTTTCCTCCTTCACTTTCTTCGCGGGAAACCCTAACCGGCGCTGACCAGCGCTTATTCTCTTCAAACAAAATTTACAGAACCCGCGCAGACAAATAGCTTCTTTGTTGTCGTGAGCTCGCTCTTCATAACAATGTAATTCACAGAATGCTGTGTTTTGTGAAGGCCGCTTTGCAAAGATTTCTGTCTAATAAACTCACCCCACATGCAAGCGCACGCGCCGTTTGACGTAGGTCCACGCTAAATGATGCCGAGTGTTTTCGGAATGGGCCGGTCCACGAACTTCATTGCTTGAAAGCTAGCTAAATGTGGAAAGTTCCTACTAGTTCTCTCGAGATAACAAATGAGCCCTACGTGGGTTCAAACTAAGAAAATACTGGCAATACTGTCACAGCCGATTTAACAACAAACCATGATGCTGAGATGAACACCTCGCTTGCTGAAAAAATCAAGAGTGTTCGTGAACACAACTTTGAAGGTGGCGTTAAAAACTCAGGATGCTGACAGAAGCAACTTAAATAGTAAGGTTAAATGTATAGGCCTAGCTTTTCCGTTAAATATCCTGTTTCTGCTACTGGTTTTTGTTGGGTTCAATACAGGTAAAGTACGATTTGGTATTTGGTACAGAATCACTATGAACAATAGGCCATTTTACAGTTGTGTACTTAGTTGCCAAGCCTTTGATTCAGAGTGAGGCTGAAGGTGACCTTGTTGTGATAGAGACCTGTATCTACTTTGCCTGATAACAAAGTGATTTACATTTGAAAGGCAGCAAGGTTTGTATCATAACAAGGTCACCCCTAGCCTCACTTCGGTACAAAGGCTTGGCAACCAAACACACAACTGTAAAAAGGACTATTGGTTCATGCGCTAGTGTGCGTTCATCGAGACTTGAAGGACGCGGGAAGTTTGGAGAGCATGAAAAATGCCTAAAGAGTTGCTCGAGGCGCAGCCGAGAG